GGTCTGAGACGGGTGGGAAGTGCAGATAAGAAACCTTTCAGACTCCCAGCGGGATCCCAGCTCAGACGCATCTGCAGACTCTTCCTCTGTGTCCAGAGCCCTCCTCAGCAAGACTATGCCCCAACTTCCCCTGCTGAGTGCATCGCCATGTTCAATAGCCAGCCCTCAGGACCAGCAGTTAGCGTAATGGCTATGTCGCTGAACTCCCATGTTGTCGACCGTGGCTCGAGTCCCGGACCTGGTGGCTTAAACTCACGCCAGTCGTGTGTGCATGCATGCCCAAGATCCTGAGAGGAGAATGGAGGAGAAGGGATTGCGGCGTGGCCATCCCCCCTGGGGGGTGATTTCTTGCTTTCTGTTTCTGTCTCTCTCTGTCTTTCTGGCAAGCGCACATGCCCCGTAGCAAAAACCTCTCAAAAAAAAAAAAAAAAAAAAAAAAAAAAAAAAAAAAAAAAAAAAAAAGCCCGTCCCGGGCAGGAACCTGGCGGGTGTGGGTCTGTGTGCCCGTGAGCCTCACAAGTCTGACTGTGACTGTTTGCTGGCCGATCAGTGTGCGTCTTGGAATAGGCACGAACCTGTATTGTGTGTGTGCGTGCGAATCTCACAAGTCTGGTTGTGAATCTGTGAGTGGGGGGTATGTGGATGTTGACACAGTGTGTGATCTTTGCACGTGTGTGTGAGTGTGTGTGTCTATGGGTCCTGCAGGTACAGGTGTTGAATAGATGAGCATAACCACCAGATTCATTTCTGGCTCTGTGCTGCTCAGCCCCACATTCCTTAGGCCTCACACTGCCCACGTGGACCTCTGAGAACTGAGTGATGAATGCACTGCCCAGGAGCATCCGTGAGCCGGTACGCGGTTGCTGTCTGGCAGTTCCGGTATGTGTCTGGGGGCGTGTTTGTGTGCAGGCTCCTGTACCTGAGGTGGACTGCGTGTCCACCCTCTTGTTTGCTAATCAGTCTAATCGATTCCGTATGTGTTGGCATAGAGCTGTTGACGTGCAGGTCTGATTCTGAGTCTTAATGATTTATTTTATATTATTATTTTTGCCATGCACTGACTGGGGAGGGACAGATAGGAGGACAGGTAGGAGATCACTCTCCTTCCCAAGGGGAATGGCCATGCTACGTTGCCTTCTCTCCTGTTCTTCTCTCGGGATTTCGGGCATGCATGCACATGCACCCAGTGTGTTTTTCAAGCAGCTGGGTCCAGCTCTTGAACGGTGAAATGCACTATGTGGGATCCAGAGACTTAACCACCACGCCATCCGCCGGACTTAGTCTTTATTTATTCAAGCTCATGTATGTTTGTGTTGACAGTGACCACACAGGTCCAAATGGGTGACTACCCACCTCCGTATATTCATCTTATGGGATTGTTTGTGGATGGTTCATAGTATCAGCCAGGTCCACGTGCAGGGAGGAGGGATGTTCCTGTGTAACAGGAGAGTTTTTTTAAATTTAGTTTTATTTATTCATACATTTATTTTAATTTGACCAGAGAGAAACACAGAGAAAGAGAAAGAGGGAAAATGAGAAAGCAAGCCACCAGGTTTGGGACTTGAACCGTGGTCAGTCTTGTGGGAATGTCCAGTGCCTTAACCACCAAGCCACCTGCTGGTTCCCTAGAGAGGAGAGATTTAAGTCATCGGGTCTGGGACTCGAACTAGCGGTCAACTATGTGAGAGTAACCATTACACCATGTGCTGCTCCCAACACCAATAACAATTCTAAACACGCAGAGAAATAGATCTCAAGCAGAAAGCAATAGCTTTAATGTGCTGATAACACAAAGGTCAAAGTTTGGGGATTCCAGAATGGCTCCTGATTGAGAAGTATAATCCAGGAACAGAGACAGCCTAATGGGAGTACGCCTCAAAATCTGCATAAAAATGAAGGGACCAGGGCTGGCAGGTGGCGCCAAGGTTGAGGTAGCTGGAGTCCACATGGTGGTTCAACTCTTGGACTAAGCAGCTTGAGAATTACACTGGGTGTGAGCATATGTGTGTGCCCAGAGTCCCCCAGGGAGGATGGAAGAAAGGGACTGTGGTGTGGCCATTGCCCTGGGAGGTGACTTCTTACTTTCTCTCTCTCTCTCTCTCTCTGTCCTCCGTCTCTCTCCAAGGTGCACACAAGCCGTATTGCAAAAAAAAAAAAAGAAACTTTAAAAAAGCATATACAGGGATCATCGGTTAGCGTAATGGCTATTTCGCTGAACTCCCATGTAGTCAATTGCGGTTCAAGTCCCGGACCTGGTGGTTTAAACTCAGGCCGGGCACATGTACGTGCGTGCCCAAGATTCCGAGAGGAGAATGGAGGAGAAGGGATTGCAGCATGGCCATCCCCTCTGGGGGGTGATTTCTTGCTTCTGTCTCTCTGTCTCTCTCTGTCTCTTTGGCGAGTGCATGCACCCTGTAGCAAAAACCTCTCTTTAAAAAAAAAAAGTATATACAAGGGCCGGAAGGTGGCGTGGTGGTTAAGGGCACTGGACTCCCACAGGGCCGACTGCAGTTTGAGTCCTGGACCTGGTGGCTTGAAAATCACACCGAGTACATGTGTGTGGCCCAAGATCTCAGGAGAAGAATAGAGAAGGAATTGTGGTGTGGCCATCCCCCCTGTGGAATGATTGCTCACTTTCTCTCTCACTGTTCCTGCCTGTCTATCTCTCTCTCTCTGCCAAGTGCATGCATCCTAAGCCAAAAAAGTCTTTAAAAAAAGAGAGAGATCAGTAAAAAAAACCTTTGACTCGATATGCAGCAAATCTTTAAAAAAAAAAACCCAAAAAACCCACATAGGAAGACCAACTGCATTTACCACATAAGTACAACTGTAAAGGCCTGGCAGTGACACCTGCTGAGAAGGGGAACTCTCATCTCCTAGCCTGCTGGTGGGATGGAAACTGCAAACTGCACTACCACTTTGGATAAAGCCTCCTTCTGCCCAATGAACAGACTCTGTGCATACCCTCTTTCCGTCTAGTGAGCAGACCGCGCGCACACCCTCCTCCTGCCCAGGGAACAGACCGCATGCACGCCCTCCTCCTGCCCAGTGAATAGACAGAATGCACATCTTATTTCTGCCCAGTGAACAGACTGTGTGCACACCTTACCACTCGAAAAATCCCTACCTACAATACAGGTTCATGGAGATGAAAAGTAAAGAAGAATAAGAATAGTGAAGAAATGAGGAAAAACCCTCTTTGTATACAGGGTTGCTTCCATCTTCCCAACACGGAAAAGGGTCAGACCTCTAAAGGTCATCTAAAGTATTCAAAGATCTCTCAGCAAAGTGAGTCTTTGCTTAAAAAAGGAAAAAGGTTAAAGATATGGTTCAGTTTTCTCTGTCTCCTGTGGTGAGCGCTCAGTAAAGGAGTGGTCAAAGACACCCAGTTGTTGCTTCAGAGTCAGGTCCTCCTCTGGGTGTTCAAGGAAACCCAAAGG